GCACGAATATATCCAGTGACATATCGGTCCTCTGAGCCATTGTTTTCGATGTGGTTCAGTACCCTGCGGGCCCCTTCCGCGATGTCGTCCATGGATCGGGGCGGGTCCGCGAGGGCCGTGTTTTTTGATGTTCCTCTCCTGATAGGGGGCAAATTCTGTGCATTCGCACCAGTCGCCATCAGTGCTGCCATTGCCCTTACAAAAAGGGTATCAGATGGTAGCGCTTGAAGTTACGACTACGGTTTCAAAATTTCAGGTCTTTTTAGTTCACCGGGGTCTCAGCGCTGATGAACTTCTGGAAAAATGACCATATAGTCTCCTTATACCCTGAGGACCTGTTTGGGCGTCTAACGAGGTGTGCCTCTACAAAATCGCCACCGGGGAGCTTCGATGCATTTAGTCACGCTACATGGAAGGCGCTCGAAGGCAAGGGATTTAGGGCGCAGCACACGACACTGGAAGATTTACTGGTACGCAGAGTTGGTGACTCTTCAAATGTGTGTCGTCGTGCGCATCTTGTCCCAAAATATTGTTCGCGGAATCTGGATTTCAACCCATTGGAGATCAGAATAGCTGGTGGAACAGAGCGTGGGAAAGCGTCCAAGTGCCACGGTTTTACCAATGGCGTCTGTGATAAAAATTGTGGCAGCAGCATAGCTATGTGGCATTGCCCTTTCTTAGGATAGTGTATTCAGCGCAGCCCTCACGCGCTGGAATCACTATTTTCCAGCGTCCACGGCCTATACATTCTACTCGGCGATGTCTGGTTTTAAATTTTTACGTGTGAGCCCTCAAGTTATATTAAGAAACTGATTCTCGTCGAGCGTCAAAATAGTAACGTATGTACAAATTTCATGATATCTGCAAAATAAACACAATGAAGCTCCCTATTCTCTAGTCTAACACTTGAAATAAGCTGTCGAAGGCATTATGCACTGCGAAATATGGCTAGTAGGAGAAACGGGTCTGGGTTTTGGCAAAGAAAGAGGCAGTACAGTTGTACGAGATTGAGTAGGATGTGAAAGGGTGACATGAACGAGCAAAGAACTGAACCCGGCTACAAAGTTCTTTGCGTGCCTGCCATCCGCTGCCAGATACAAACTAATTTTTCGGATTCCCCAAGACTTGAGTAACTGATCCTGATCATTCAGACTCTATCGGGACGACATGGCTACTCTCAAATCTTCGAAAGAAGCTCTGAAGCGAGCTACAGAGCCGGTTTTCTCCCAAAAGAAGCCATTATCGGACAAACAATATAGCGCTAGCGCTAGCTTGAATATTTTACTGGGAGGCTCGGGATGGGTGACGTACCGAGACTCCCTCATTCCTCAATCATCTCATCTCTTAGCACCTTTCGCCAGATCGCGTGACGGTTCCTCGGTACTAAAATCATGACCCGGCCCGAAAAGCCTACTAAGTGGTTTGCCCATCTATTAGAAGCAAAGGTAGCGAGATACGCTACATTTGAGCCCTAGCAATTGTCTACCGCAAGATTAGGACAATGTCTTTGCTCTACCTCAGAGACGGGATCCTCGCTGTCCGGGTTGGTATGCTCGCCCGACATTTATAGGAAGCCAATCATGCTGCATGAAGACACAGAAAGCGACACATGTAGTTGAAAAGCACTTGACAACAAGAGATTTGATACCATCCTATTCTGCCACAGTATGTATCGCATTATGTCTAATGCATCCTTCCAGAGCGGAGACTATCACCAAAGGGGCACTTGACTATGTCGAAAACCCAGTCAAAGAGGAAACAGTGGCTCCGGTAGACCTTTGCCTGATTTACTCGAGGATCGCTTCCCCACGTGGAAGGCCACTCGGAGAGGACCGGGTGTAAGAAGCCATCGCCTGGGTGATTGTGCGGGTACGATGTCCTTCTATGTATTTTGCAAACGTGACTATGCAGTACTAACCGTGTTAGGGTCAAGCCGCAGGGCCAGATAGTTGAGTGGAACTTATCAAAACTGACTATGGGGCGGGTTCGGAGCCTGCAAATGATATCATTTGGTCCAAAGGTGTCACGGCAAGTGATAAATTCGATCGGAACCGAATCGAACCGAACACAAGGAACGAACTGGAACTGTCCAACAACATATCCAACTCCGCTCCATCAATCGTACCATTGAGGCCAGGATTCCACATAATGAATTATTTCTCCATGGAAGTAGCCACAAGAAAGTGGAACCGCGATCAATTATACCCAAGGGCCATCTTCTCGAAGCCGTGGTCCATCTGAGGCATGACAACAATCCTCCGTTGAAGATTGGAACGAAGCTTGTGGGCGCAGCAAGTTGGGTTCCTAGGTCAGCAGTTGCCGTCGAAACGGAACGCCACGATGGGCATCGTGTGTTACCCCTTTCTATTCAAGAGTCAGGAAAAGGGGCGTGAAGCGAATACGGGGAAACGAATTTCGCTTGGTAGGAAAACCCACTATGATTCTCCTGTACCGCGATAAGGAAAGTCAACTCCATTTCAGAGCATTATCAAAGGCGTGTTTGAATATAGAGAAGCGGATCTGTTTCTGGCCAGCGGAGAGATTTGGATTATCAAAGGAGTTGGCACGATCAGCGGCGAATTGATCGATGATATCGCGAGAGTGTTTGAAGTTTGGGTCGAGGCTGTAGGTTTTGTGCTGAGAGGTTGTAGTTGGGAAACCATAACAACCAGCAAGCTTTGAGGCTGAATTCTCGATGGTGGTGATAAAATCAGGAGCACAGTTGATGTTGCTAACTAGTCCGGAGCGGCGGGTTGAAGCCATGGTGATACGTGACGCGGGGAGATGCAAGGAGGGTGGTTCTGGTAGGTCAAATGATGGAACGGCGCTGGTGTTGGTAGTCAGGATGCTGTTGTTGCAAAAAAGGAAGCTAGACGGTGTTAGCGATGATTCATAAAAAGCCTTGAAATTTGACGGCCGTTAAAAATGTAGGCTGAGGGATATCAAAGGTAGGTGGGTAGAAACAGCCTCGAATTCTGACGGACGTCACTTACAGTAGTGACGAGGGTGGAAAAAATAGAAGAGAAGGTTTGAAAAGGGGGAAGTTCCCTAATCTAGCACTTGTGAGGTTATTGACCTCTACAAGCTTACTTTCTGACGGACGCCAGAAAGTCTAGGTACGGGATGTTAGTCGATGTATGTCTTTAGTATAGTCTCTACACAAGAATATGCATACAGATATTATTCACTAACGTAGTTCATTCAAGTTGGCTGCAGTGTGGTATGATCTAAAGATAGTGACAACATTAAAGACAACGTGTTAACAGTGCCACCGGTGGCTCACCGTTGAACTTGACCCCGACGATGACTGTGAAGTCTAGACCATGGAAGTTGATCTAGCAGTTCTTGCCCTGGATCTCATCAACACGGAGCTTGACCTTGTGGAAAGCATGATCCTCGTCGTTCTGGAGATCGGCCAGGAGCCGCCGGTGTGGTTGACCAGAGACTTGCCCCTAGCGGCTCCTGCTGAATTATAAACAAGTGAGAATTGGAGTTAGTGATGCATTGGCCAATTTATATCGTAAGTGATATAATGGTATTAGAATGCTCATAAAAGCTTCACTTTCTGAATTAAATTGAAGTTTCTTTCGCATGGATATCTCTGATTTAACCCTCACTTTCTAAGTTACGTTAGAAAGTGTGATAAGATAGGATTAAGGTGACGAATGCTCACATTAGATGATACTGAAGATATACTCAATAATCACAAAACTATGGTCGGAATTTATCAAACGTAATGAATACTTGGTTGGTCTTGATACTCACTGAAACACCTATAATTTACCACATTTTATCATGACAACTCAGCGATCTATCCATCATTATTATGAAAATAATGTATAGATGGGAAATTTCAAGGTCTATTGATGCCGATGCTGTTCGTGTTTCGCGCCTCTAACTGCTGAGCTTTCAGCATTGATTGTAGTGGCGATACCGGTGACAGTAGCTTACTAGCGGCCTGAGCTGTTTAAAAAGCTTCGGAAAGTAGACTGCTGGATTTGCTGTTCGGCGGCCGATAATCCTAGCTGCTTCCTACGACCGCCATAGCTAGTCGGTGGAATCCCGTCATGCTGGTCAAGCAAACTTGGCGCATATTCTTGAAGAACGTGAGATATATCGGCAAAATGTCTCTTTTGCGCATAAAACTCCAAAATAAATTGGAATGCTAGAGTATATTTAAAATGAGTTGCTTCAGCGTGTTGGTGTTAACCAATACTAGAACCTTGCCCTGCGCAGCCCTTTCCTCACCCCAAAATAAATGTCTACTGTGGGGCTTTGTCTATCACAAGGGCATTTAAAAGCCCAAAAATGGTTCCATTATGCCGAAAACGACGTATCAAGTGATTATAATAAGTCTTTAACTAAAGCCTGAGCTTGACCTGGTATCGACTGTAATTTTTTTGATCTGTTGCCCTTCAAGTCAATTGTACGTATTCGGAAGATGTCCAATGCCAGGCCCTGAATTGCAACGATGCCAAACCGGCCGGCTAACACGAAATTCGTCATCCACAATAGAAAGCCTGTTTTAATGAGAAGCATTCGGAGTGATAATTAATAATTGTGCATGTGCAAGGAAGTTTTGGCCGCCCATTGGCAAGAAGCAATTAGTCTGCAACCCTCTCAAAAGATCAGTATCCAATCAATCATCTATCCAATGTAATCATTGGATAGTAGGACAACATATTAAACGGCTATAGCAATAATCAGTCAGCGAAATGCCCTCAAGTCAGTGGGATTTGCCATCCGTAATAATGTAGTTGACAAGAAGGACGTCGACAAAAAGGACAATAAGCTGAAATGCTTCGAAGTCGAGAATCTAATAGTACTCAGTAATAATTTGCACAATTTAAATAAACCTTGCGGGAAATCAAGTCGGAAATCAGTATTTATACATACCAGGCCCTCTGCCCATAGCCCAGCCAGGTACGACGATCCAAGGAAGAACCTCCAGCGCGATTTGTATATCAGAGCCCACGGCTATACCAATGGCAATGTCCATTTCATCTTTGCAGGCGACAGTGACTGCGGTGGCGTGTTTGGCGGGGTTGCCGACGATACGTACGTAGGAGGACGGGACCGACGAACGTCCTGCCGATGTCGCCGGTTGCGGGGAGTGCGTCGATGGAGCTGACCATGAACTCCGCATAGACAGCTACAATGGCAGGTAGAACGTCCCGTGTGATTAATGCGACCAGGATGGTCAGCTGCAGCTGCTCAGGCTCGTCATCGCGGTCTTGCATCTGAGCTTGTTGCGCGTTTACCTCCATGGATGCAGCGGCCATTTTGGCTATCTGATCGTTCCTGCACTTGGAATCGCCTTTGGCGATCCTTTGGCAGCGTTTGCCAGTCTTCGGACTTGGGCGGTTGTATATCTCGACGCGGGCCTTTAGCTGGAAGAGCAGGTAGCAGCCGTAGGTGATCAGGAGGAAGACACTGGTACCTCGGGAGAGAGAGGAGGCTTTGCCCCCATCGGTGGTGGGAGTCAACTGGTAGAAGGCCATCGGAATGATTAAACTACCCCCAGCCGGCGCCGGCAAACTAGCCGTAGTCTGGGCAGCAGTGACGTTAAAATGCTGCTCCACTCGACCAATACCGCCAAAGAAGCAACACATCCCCAGAACGAGCAAAAAGTTCAAAAAATTACTTCTAAGCAACGAAGACTGCACAACCAAAACCTCCTTCTTTGCCAGCTCGATGACTGCAACGATCAATTCAACTGAATGTCCAAACACTCAATAATCCACCGACCACTTCAGCAGTCCGTAGCGCAATTTCCTACGTCGCGTCACTCAGCTTCGTGGCCAGTGAAATAATTGCAATTAAGTTCACAGTAAAGACCGCAATCTTCTTTGCCTTCACAACATGCAGTGTGATCCTGGCTGGCGCAGCATAAAAAAGCACAATGGCCCAAGAATTCAAGGTCGTGGCGCGCAACTGCGGCGCCACAGTGACTTTCGATTCATCTAGCGATGTGTTCTCATCAACTTTGCGTCAGAATCACCATATCGATTGGGGCTTTTTACACGTCCCGGCACAGCTACGGGCTTGTATCTCAGCATCAACGGCTCCTCCGACCACAATCGAGGCTGTGTAACATAGCCTTGATTGCGAGTCATGCTGGGCAATAGTGATCCATGCGGTCGCTCTTTTCAGCCATGGCGCCTGACTATTGCAAACTATGCGGTTAGTCATTAGCTTGGCTTTCTTAGATATAGAACCTTGCCTTGCACGCAAAACAAGTTGCCTAAGTCTGGTATCATTCGGTCCAGATGTCTCGATCGCTTGTACTGCTTAACTGATGCCGCCTTTTAGGCGGTATTAGCGCCGGTGCAGCGGCTAGCTACTGACCAACCCCGAATTGTTTACTCGGAGAGGATCTAGGCAGAGTTCAGCACTCCGTTCCATAATTGATGTCGATACATGTACACCCCTACGTCTTGTAGATGGGAAAACAAATGGTACATATCACATGGGCCATGCTTTTCTGTATTGTATTCACACTCCATAACGGTTAAAAGCAAGTCAGTAATTGGAACTCGCGCGGGATGCCAAGTATACCTGGCATGTTAGTAAAAGTACCGCGGCTATGGTGATACTATGTCGATATTCCTGGTTTCCGGCTAACCACGCATACTCTACTAGCAGGCCGCATACTTCAGAGTTATCACAAGCGAGAGTGCCTTTGTGTTTTATGGCCAGAGTTTACCGGCATCAGCAGTTTTGTAAGCGAGGCATTGTTGAAACACAATAGGCCATGGAGGGCGTGACGGTATAGATTGAGCTAACATAACACACTAAATCTACGGCTTTAGAACCTACATTGCCAGTGGAGGAGATCACAGCCAAGTGACAATCAAATCACAGTTAACTTCATTATGAGTCTGCATTCGTTGTCCAGTAAATTTAGGCCCAGACATATCTTGGTTAAGATAATCTCATATCCAGAATGTGTTGTGTACTTTGAATGCATGATTTATAGAAGAGGAAGTAATTTGTCGGCACTAGATGTGTTCTGGACAACTCGATCTTGTCCGTGGAGGACGCTGGCTAGTTAAACGCGACTGAATATAAAATACAAAACCAAGAAGAAACTCAGGATGCTCTCTTTTCATGCGCGAGGAGACAATTGCATGCCCACTGCCTTGAATCTTGAAACCATGAAGCCTGGGCTACAATTTGCCTCCCAATCCTCATCGAAATCTGACTTCGGGCCGTGAAGATTGGATGGATACTCCTCTTCCTGGAATGGCATGCAAATGCTGCAGGGACCGCCGTTCTCTAGACCCAATGATCTCCCATCCTTATTCAATCCACACGAACAGGTCGGGGTTAACATCACTCCTGATGTGGTGCAAGGGCAAGAGCCTAACAAGAAATTGCATGGGACGCACTTGTAGTAAGCGCGGCTGATACCTTCGTCGGAGTTATCGAGGGGTGTAGATAAGCGAATGCCAGGCAGTCCGCATTGTTGGCATTTCCTCTGGGATGGACACTTCGTATATTGTATCATTGCTGGCAAGTGACGACTTTTGAAAGTGGTCTAGTATATGATATAATCAATAGCTAGTGATGTGGAGAACTTGTCCAATTTCATAATCGCAAAGTTAAGCTACAGAAGGAATCATCCCGATTTATAACACTTTTTCTTGGGGATGGGGGAATGATTGTTACATATCCTTTGGACAGGCAGCATATTGCCAAATCACGTAAACTTCTGAAGATTTTCAGACTAAATTAAGACGTAAGCAAAGCCAAGACCGGATGAGTGAGGTTAGATGAAAACGTTGTAGCGACGGACAACTGGATTTGTCGGGTGTTCTTACAATTCCCCCGCATGAGCCAAATCACCCATGATATTTGAAATATTATACAATGGGTTCATTATCACTGCCAATCTCCTTGTTGCTGACGCACTTCCCTACAAAGGCCAGAAGACTCGGAATAGCCGCGATGAAAGTACTGTTACCGAGCGTAGCGGCATCTACCACTGTGAGATGAGTGCCCGATATGCTGAGACCCCATCGTTTTCTCGTTAATTTCTCATTTCGATTTTCATTCTCTGACAGAAATTTTTTCGTTGCGAAGCAATGATCTTCCGTTCGATAAGCGCTTTTAGGTATACCCGTCGAAACTTTAGTAAGTTACCTTATTTTCCTAGGTGGCTGGTGGTCGAAGTGGTCGGCCGTCGGTTTGCGCCAAAGAGAGGTCTGGCGGATTGGGGTCCTGCCCACCTCTATATCAAGGCGTAGTAGGTTCGAATCCTATAGCCGCCAAATTCTTATCCTTCCGGGGGTAAGGATGACCACGTCGGAGGAGGGGAGGCTTAGATATCGCTCAGTGTATGGGAGAGTTTAGGGGGGTAATGGAGCATAGTTCTCATTCATGCCTCTCCCTTCGCATACTCTATGCTAAGTGTGGCACTGAATTTCCTAAGGTTTTTGAAACTTTTCCTTAGGGCCCGCGTTACCCCGGTGGAGCGGTACGGAATTGTGATTAGTGCGATCCCACACATAAGGAGAGCACCGCCTGTATCTAAGCCGGAGAAAGTCTGCATAGCGCCTAACAAGACAAGAGGGAAGCTCCACCAGACTATAATAGATCACATCATCATCATCACCTTATTTTCCTAACTAGGTTATGTTCATCATTATTTCGGTACCTGTGTGATTTACGCAGAAATACATCATGACCTGCCAGCCGCTCGCCATCATATCACGTAGAATCTCGAACCGCCCTGTCATTCTTCTGTACATCGCGTCAGTATTTGAAGAGCGTTGCAAAGTACTACATTAATCTAGCCACACAACTCACTGATTGATGCATAAATGATGGCTTACTATTCTAATAGGTGTTCCCAGACCAAAAGAGTGGGCAGATCTGAAATAGCCAGGTTTGGAGTGGAGGGCTTATGGTTAGGCCTAAGCCTAAATCTACCACCTTTTGGGCGGTGGAGTGGCTGAAAGACAAATACGGCTACCTAGTGATCTCAAATTTCGTCATCTTTGTCAGAAAAGATATCCAAAGAGCTAATTAAACTGACCCTCCTCCATTGTCATATTTGAATTTGATGGGCTGCTACCATGCAGTTAACATATCGAGAACAGGGCTGTGCAGGTTGCAAAAATTATGTTAAGCCCTAATGATTCTATCGTCCTTCTGCATAATCCGATCGCCAAATACCAGGGTAACTGATGCGGCATGAATTGATGCAAGTCAGTCAACTCATAGCTCTGATCAGTTTCAGAGCCCGACATATACGAATCGGAATTGTGTGCAATAGTGACCCTTGTTCCCTAACATTCTCTGGCAGCTTTTCTTGTACAGCCTAGAGAACGGACCGTTGCTCACCTAATTGACTTCGAAGGTGATTATTTCGCGGTTCGTCAGGGAGAATGAGAGTTAGTTTTCTTCAAATCTTCAATCTCTACAGCTTGGTCTTATCATGCTTTTTCACAGCGCGGCTGGTCAAAGTTAACCAACCAGCTTCGTAAAAGCACCAGCTTCGTAAAAGCACCAGTTTCGTAAAAGCACCAGCTTCGTAAAAGCGTTTCACCATCAATTAAAGATGTAGCCTATGACTCCGATATAAATTCGACAAATGAAATACTGGGTTGAATCAAGCAAATAACATCCCTCCCAAGAGCCATAATCCCAAGATATACACGCCGACTTGCCCCGCCACCACAATTAATCCTATAGTCTCCACTGGCCGAAATCGCAGTTGATCACGCCGCATCTTGGCTTCTTGCTTGGTGAACTTTTGCAGACGTGGCACATGTTTGAATTCAAACTTTCTTCCATGTAGGAGGTGTGTGCTCATCATGGTTGATAACACCAATTGTTTAGATTTCTGTTATGGTAGATGAACCTAATCAGCATGTTCAAGGCAATATTCCTTTTAATGGACAGCAACTCACCCGGATCATCAGTCGATCAAAAGCAGGAATCCACTGCTGCAACGTAGATATCACTACGAGCAAGGTACAACAGCCTCGAAACGCAATTCGAGATACTGCGCTCGGCCGCGAGAATCCCATTGTATCGGCTAGCTTATCCCCGCTCAAAGCTCGACAGCCCGTCTCGATGAAACCTCTGGAGACGTTGATACCGGGATAATCCTGGATGGTAGAAATAAAATTCATACCAATCGCCTTAGATGCTTGTGTTGGCTCTGGCTCACAGAGCATAACACTCTCCATCATCGCTTTGGCTCTATTGATTCCATCGAAGTATTCATGCGGTGTGCCCATAAGGTACGCGATGTATCGAAACAAGGCTAAAAAGTCTGCCGACTCATCCGCGCCAGGCTGAATACCAATGGCAGGAAGCTGGCGGAAGAGGGGCATGCAAGAAAAGATGCACGTTGCGTGAATTGCATCTCTGAGGTTGACCGGTGTCCCATACTGAACTTGGTCAAAATAGCTCGGGTCTTGCTTCATCAGCTCCAGGATGCGGTGGCGCACCGTCACATGCAGCAGGCGCACGCGCACCGTGGAGATAAACCCTTCACCATTTGGTTTGATCGAATCGAGCGAGCTCGTCACCTGTAGCAGCCAGAGGAACGTCTCAAGGAATCGCCTTTGAAGCACGTTGACGGAAAAGCCGCCCGTCCGCACGAGCACTTCGGTTCCTCCAGCGATGGTCTAGACCGGTCAGCAGCCATACATTATACAAGATGTATAGAGGGAGAGGGCCTACCGCAGTACCACCCAAAAACCCCTGTAGTGCAAGTCCGGCAAGGTTGGGTGCTAAATAGCGATAGAGGAATTTCTGACCCCGCTCAATTTGTACCCAGTCTACCCATTCTGGAACCGTATGTATCTCCTCCCAGAAACCCCGAAGAGTCTCATCGTTCTCATGGTTTACCTTTAACATACCGTACAGGTCACGGCGGCACAGCAGGCCCAGAGCTTGCAAATGCTCTACCACAGCCACCGCAACATCATCAGCCTGCTCTCGCAATGGCTTCAGCTCCTCGGCTGTCAGATGATTTTCAGTCCATTTGAAGGTATGATTCCAGACAGTCTTTTTGTCGCCATGGGCTGGAGCGTGCGGGTTCATATTCGGGAGTATGATTAGTTGTTGGATGGTTTGTTCAATGTCAGACGGAGACACGCTTTGGCTGAGAGTCCTTTTCATACTTCTGTGCTTGCTGCTAACAGCGGGTTATATAGCTTGTGAGGCTTTGTAGATAACGCAATAGTTATCAAACTTAGTACGCACCTATGACTTAATTTCGGGTCATACTTGAGAACACGTTTACGCGCACGACACGCTATGGTGGAGTAGCCGGGGATTCTGGCCCCATATGATGCTACGTAGATATGGGAGCCACCAAAGCAGACTTGACTACATGTATCACGGGATATTTTCTCCACTGATTGGGTCAGAGCTATATTAAGCGGCCGAAGTCCTCTTCACCGAGACCATTCCACTAATATTTTTGTCTGACTACAGCATGTCCGTGTCACCCTCTTCATTAGTCCGTCAATTGATCGGACGCTGCATTGGCCAGCAAATCAAAATTCCATTCTTGTCCAAACTTTTCCCTGGATGGCATGCTCGTTTCAATCATAACGATGACGCAGGCATACAATATGATCTGGACCAGTTCCAGCAAGTGTAAGTATCATACCACACCTTTTACTGCCGTGGTGGGAACTCACTTTCTCCAGTTGGATAAAAAGTCCCGTCGCTCTTGAACGAAACCGACGGACCGATTCTGTCTTTTTTGCCCGGAGCGTTTTCCCTGAGGCTGCGACTGAAGACCTGAAAATTGCGGTCATATGGATTTCCTGGGTATGTCCGAAGGTCTTTCTGTATGACTTGGGAGAGACATCTTGCTCACCAAATTGCTTCTGAAGCTATACTTCTGGGACGATGGTAGGAATGCATGGTCGCTTTTCAAAATGGGCGCTAATATCCACTCGAAAAGCTCTTGACTTTAATGAGTTAGACAGAACGTTGGACCAGATCAGCAGCTACCGAGAAGAGATTCTTTTGTGCATACAGCACAGCCTACTGCCCGGTGATCAGAAAGAAGACGTAGATCCGGTGCATATTGCACCAAATTGCCCGGCTGCCCAGGCCTGGTACAAGATTGGGGTCCAGATCCGGCGTAAGGTCACGGCAGGTAAATTGTAGATTTAATAATTGGAAGCAAGTTGCTTTTTTAACATGGTACAATCCTCTGACAATCTGGCCCTCCAGCGTCCTCCCAGAAATTCATGCATGACTGTTTACGTGAATATGTCACCGCTACAATCGAACTCCAGATGCATTGCGACAATTTTGAGATTATGGATATTGATTCGTACCTGGCAATTCGAATGAAAACATCCGGCGTCTATCCAACAATCTCAATGTACCTGTACAGACCCCAGAGGTTTTTTCCGGAAATTACCAATGCTAATAGGACTGCGAAGGTTAGCATCCCGGTCTGAGCCACCCGAGTGGTTCTTTTCCCATCAATTGGTTAAAGGTGCACTCCTAGAAATGAATCGAATTGTTTCAGTGTGAGTGCTTGACGATGAAATCCAACTCATGTCAAGTTACTCATAGTTTCTTCGCACAGTTACAACGATATTGTCTCTGCCCATCACGAGATAGTAGGTGCCCATACTCGGCACGCAAGCCTTAAACTGGTGATTGGAGGCTGATTGCTGCAGGCGTCCGGACATATCGACAATATCATCCCGTTACTGATGCACCACTATGGCCTTTCCGCACAAGGCGCAGTGAACGAGGCAGTTCGTATAATCAAAGACTCCTTCGCCGGCTTTCACTGTTTTGAAGCCGAGATTATTGCCCTTGGGAAAGAGCATGATATCACCCGGGAAGTTTCGGCATTCTTGAAGGGCTGCATTGACCTTTGTATGGGTGCTATTCAATGGACGTCAGTATTCGCAACCCGAATCATCCTTCGCTGATCCATCAATGCAAGCAACTGATGATTGAGGTGTTAGATATCATATCAAAAGATACTTTGATTATTCACCGAGTATGGGCTCTGTCGAAATGTCAGTCGTTCTCGGCCCCCCTTAGAGCCGGTGATTTGATACGGAACGCCCAGAAACCGGGCAAGCCCCATCATGGGGCCTACAATCAAGCGAGGTATAAGTTTCTGAAATATCTGGAACACGAGGGTCCGCCGGAAGTGAAGGGCTTGATGATTTCAATTACGAGTTACTAGAAGACAATAGATCGTCTGTATCTGCAAGTCGAGGACTTTCAACATTCACGCTATAATATATGGACCAAAGTGCGACTGGTTAGCAGATTCTGGTTGTGAGAAAGACCAAAGGCGTACCGTAAATGCGCTCGTCTGGAGAAAACAAGCCTTACAACATTGGCGCTGTATGTCTCATGCAAATTCTATACGGCTTCGTACCATCGCTGCTAATTGGTATGGGGATGCATTACGTGGGCAGTATCCTAGTTTTCCCGTCTCACTGTGAATACTACCTCGCAATATTTTGATTTTAGTCTGACGCTGCTCTTCAAAAACAAAACTCGGTGAAGGTAGGTACTGTAGCAAAACCCACAAACTCATAAACCAATATTAGGGCAGGAGTTATCCAAGCTGCGGACCACGAAATAGCTGAATGCTCTTCTGTGGTCACGTAGATCCTTTTTTTTTTTGGCTTTGAAGTCCCTTTTTCCGTTTCTTCGCAGCTAGAGCCCCCTCTTTCTCCACTTTCCAAGTCTAGGCAATGTAGAATCCCTAATTGTAGCTACCCCAAATGTAGATTGTTCAAATATAGATAATCTTGATGATATATAAGGGGGCAAAGTGATTTTTCACCCCTGTTCCTTCCGATAGGGTAGCTGCGAGAATAAGTCTCTACAAACCTCGGTTTGTATCATATGATGTGATTTTGTGGTAAACAGTGGGCGAAGGCAAAGGCGTTGCCCGGACAGGCCAAAAGAGAATTCTGATGGATGATAAGTAAGATCGCAACAAATCGTTAACTGCGACGTCGTAGTGCATGATATGATCGTAATATTTGCCTCGGGCGATGTATTATGTTGTAAACCTGCAGAAGCATGACATTACTCTGACCTTTGTAAAACTTGAGGATACCAGTCGATAAGATTGCGTTGTCTTAGGTTAGATATTATTGTGTAAATTCAGCAAATCGCCCTATTTCGCCAACTTAAATTAAACAGTCCCACAAACACATCTGTATACGTAGCACATGCATTCGAGGCCACCATCCCCTTCCTGCTGCTTCTAGCCATATTAAACAAATTGACCATGCGAAATGTCGGGTTGCACGCTCCCCCTCAGTTGCAAGCTTGGAAGGCTGTCCATGAAAATTCAACTTCCTCCTTCTCAGTCAGCATCTAGATAGCTGACGGTAATACTTACCTTCGTAATATGCTATTAAGGTTGAAAAAGACATTGCGAAAAAGGTGTTGTTTACAGTTGATTCGCTGGAGACGTCACTTGTCACTATGATTAGGCGCGCGATTTATGTGATATCTTGCGGTTTCCAACAAAATTGAACTAGATTCAAGCAATTGTATCTGCCAGTACGATACCGTGAGGAATGGCGAAGTTGGACGGGTATATCCATCGATCCGACGCCTGTTAATCCTCACACAACGGGTGAGAAAGAAACACAGGTTAATTTCAACAGCAAGCCACATGGACTGTTATAGAAAGATTTAGCCCTGTATTGCTAGCTCAGACGTGGGATAGAAGCAACAGTGGCGCGATTTTTGGTAGATTGGAGGATAAAGAAATTGTATTATGATACAGTAAGAAAGAATAATCAATCCCTTTAATTTAGGTACAGTGGCTGCAGCTAAAACAAACAATGATTAGCAACCATGCACTAAGTTTTTTCGTTCTTGTGCCCCCTTTGTCCGCACCCAGTCACGCCGTATTTTGGCTCCGTAGGCCGGGCGGCATTTCGGGACCCAGTTCTCCCTAGTATATAGTGCAATGACGGCAAACATCTTCCGAGTACTAATTACGGATAATCAGGGCTGAGGTCTGCGTTTCGGCATTGGAGTTTGTGCTTGCCTGCCTGAGGACACCAGTCTACATGATGGAGTCCAGTCAGGTCGCTTTTCAACACCGTCCGCGCTTTGAAGGTTAGAATAAACAGACCTCCCCAAGCCAGGTATGAACTAGTGTCGGAGTAATATTCAGGTGATATTGACAGGTATAAATCGTAAAGTGGAAGCAGTAACCTGTATCGGATGAGAAAGGAACCCCGTCCGAATCTGTATTATATACAGATGGTTAATATTTCCATACAGCCGTAGAGAAGTCTGAGGCTATAGTAGCGGATTCACCATGGCCAAGCCTGAAAGTAGAACATATCAATCTATATCCGCTCCTTTACTTCAAGCAAAAGCACCCATGGGACTGTAAAAGGCCATGGATACTGCGAAAGACTGTTGGTCCCCCACGAGGATTGCATGTAGATTGATCTGCCTCACTGGGTAGCTCAATGTGGTCGGAATTTGAGGTGTTGCTCCTTTGCATTCAACTAACCTGCTACAGCTGATAAACACATTGAAAGCGGCTGCTTACAAAGGGAGTCTTCGACAAATACTTGAAGATCAATAGGACAATCACTGATGAACCTTAATTATCATTGCAGGTGCGTAGATGAGGAAAGCTAGGAGCAATATGTGAAGCCAGGCAACTATAGTGATCAACGCCGTAGAGCTCCTGGCAAGGAGATACATGTACTGTGTATTGAACATGATGCATCGAAAAGTTGAGGACAGTATGGAGACGCTCCGACGTGAACAATAGCCAGAAGGATAGTGAAATTCGACGGACCTCAATTGTGAGCTAGTGTTATCTGTGGAAATTCACCGATTGCTCCGGCGGAGTCTCCTGGGGCGTGCCCTGTCGTGGACAAGTTGCATGGCGGGGCGATAGCGCAGATTTGCAACCTTCAATGCTGTAGAATTGGCGAAGAAAATCCGGGAATGATAATGCTTTCGGGGATGGAGCCGACGGGGATGGAGTCGACTGCATCGAAGATGTTGGGCTAATTGGCGTTTGCGCTTGTGAGATCGGCTCATGGCTTGAGGCA